AATGAACAAACAAAACAGGAGGTAAACAGCAAAATCCCTTAAAATTGTTCTCATCTCCAGTCATATAAAGGATTCAATCAGATTCCTGTAATTTTTATTGCAATGCCACGCAGTTTTGTTTTCTTCCTGTCTGGAAATTTCCATCTCTTTTTCCCAAAGTCATCTCCAGTATCAGGTCCTAATGGGACACTCATGATGAGTAAAGTATGACTTCCTATTTCCCTCCTCTGTCCGTCCGCTTTGGGGAAAATAAAATAAGTCAAAACAGATTTTAACAAATTCCATTTCAGTTTAATTAAACCGTCCGTAAACGTCTCGTTCAGCTCAAATTACCTTTTGTTTCAGAAAAAAACTTGCAAACTTTAACACAAATCTACAGTAACTGAAATAAAGAGGCCGAAGCCATGCCTACATGGCAGAGTTTTAGATCAGTATTAGATTTCACGGCCTGAAATGTTGCAGAGACGCTTTTCCACATGCAGTCGCCGACTCTGTGTGGAAGCAGTTAAATAACAGCCTGCCTGCAAACTCCCCAAACTTTTAATCCGGTGCCTGTAAATCCAAGTTTGTATCACAGCAGGAGCGTCGAACATCTCACAAATCAAAGACCGGTGTTTCAATTTCAAACGTTCCCAACATTTGGTTCCTATTCTTTCACTTTTCCAGCCGCTTTGTGTTTCGTTTTAACCTTCTATATGTGAACATCCAGTTCATTAACACATGGTGGTCCTGGTCGTTTCTGCTCTGCAAAAATCAGAAAACTGATGGATGTGCAAAAGGGGATTTTAATGCAGCTTATATAGAAACAGCTGATGTCATCATAGCTGCAGTTTAAACTTAACAAGGCTTTAAAATCAATTTATAAACTCAAATAAAAACTACAAACAGCTAATAATGTCCTGCTCTGCTGAGAACAACAATCAGACTAATTAAGCTTGAAAGTCCTTCAGCTCCTCACATGACCACTTTGTGATGCAAATGAACAGGATAAAGTTGGTTTAAGAGGCTTTATTTTTTTACAAAGTATGTTTAGCTTTGTTTGCAACCCCTCCTCTTTTTTTTAACAGTGTTTATAGAAAACTGACGAAAAAAAAGCATCTAAAAAAGAAAATAATTTAGTTTTTGTGCTTATTTTCCCCCTCTTGCATTGCCGGGAAAACTTTTACCGACTCATTCCAGGATACGTTTGCTCCACTGAAGTTTCCCAATCATATTTAATATAATTCAAACTGATAATCCACTTAGAAAGATTGCAGTGATTACAGGAAAGAGCTCAGATTTATGCAGGGAGATTTGTAGTGTTGCCTGTAAATAAAATAACATTTTATCTACATGTTGCAGAATATTCAGAAACAGAAGTTAACAGAAACTAAAATGTTCATTTCAACTATAAATTATAAGTTTGAAAGACTTTCATCGATGCAGACGGCTGTGATTAATCACAGGAAGGCAGACATTTAGCTGCATGTGTGGCTTTTTGTAGTTTCTACCCAACTTATACACTGCAAAAAATCTAAATCTAGATAAGTCCATTTTTTCTTAAAATAAGTGCATTTGTTC